CCAGCCATCGTTTCTGCATTTCAGCCAGCAGAAAAGAAGAAGAGTCCCATCTGGGTGCGCCCTCTCCGTTTAAGAATAATTCTCAGAAGTGGCACCTACCACTTCCGTTTATCTTATTGCCCAGGACTCAGTCATGTGGCCATACTCAGCCGTAAGGGAGATCACCTGCTCCAGGTCTCCACAGTGGGAACGAGGACCCAGGTGGCCATTTGCAGAGACCATTCCAGACATCCTCACCCGCTCCCTTTACTGGGCACCTTGCGCATGCTAAGCCATTCGCCTGCGTTATTCCCTGTCCCCACACTTGGTGAAGTCAGTGCTGCCACTGGCCCTGGCTGGCAAATGAGGAAACTGAGGCTCACACAGGCAGAAAGGGGCAGAGCCCAGTGCTCTGCAACCTTGTGCTTCCACCACCTGCTCTCCCCCAGTGGGCGTGGCTGGGGTCAGATGGGGACCCATCCAAAGGGACCTGCCCCTGGGCTGTGTAGGGGTCCCGTGGACTCCCCACATGATTACCAGACCCAGGGGAGGGCCGGGGGTCCCGAGGGAAGGGTCCGGGTGGTCAGGGATACTCGGGAGGCAGACAGAGTGTGGCAGGCTGGCCTCCAGCCGCACCCCAGGGACCCTCACCTCGTCTTCCTCTCCCCCTCCTGGGCCCTTACAGCTTCCTGTCTAGACAGCTCCAATTAGCCTCTCATTAAGGAGTTAAGCTGATTAGAGCCTGCTCTATCCTCTTCTCCCAGCCCTTTCTCTCGTTCCCTGGGCTAGAGCTCCGCGAGGCAACCACCCCCAGCAGCCACACCCCTGTGCCTGGGAGTAGCGGAGGCTTGGGGGAAAGGGGTGCCAGCCCCCTGCCCAGGTGAGACCCCCACAGCCACAGCTCACCACGCCTCGTGCCAGGCTCCGGGCCTTTGTCCACGCTGTGCCCAGCCTGGGATGCCTTTCCTCCTCCGTCACCCCCTCCCAATCACCCACCTCGTGGGGCAGAGGGTGTGCACCTTCTGCGTGAGCCCCAGAGCCTTTGTCCCACTGCAGGAGACCTAGACCCCGGAACTCAGGGCAAAGCAAGCCAGGGGCACAGGCAAGCCCTCCTCTGGAAAATGGGAGATTCAGGCTCATTCAGCCCCTCAACAAAAGGAGCCCTGGTGGTGCAAAGGGCTAAGCGCTCGGCTGCTCACGGCAAGGTTGACGGTTCAAACCCACCCAACGGTTCCAGGGGAGAAGGACCTGGCAGTCTGCTCCCAGAAAGATTACAGCCTAGCAAACCCTATGGGGCAGTTCTTCTCTGTCACATGGGGTCTCTATGCGTCAGAATCGACTCAGCGGCACCCAGCAACAACACCCCCTCAACAGTCATTTGCAAAGAACCTCCTAGTGCCAGCTGGGTGGGCGGGGGAGAGGAGGGATTAGAAGACTCAGCCCCAACCCTCTGAGGCCTGCAGTCTAGAGGGAGAGCGGTAATCAGTTTGACAAGGGATGTGGGCTTAAAGGGGGGCAGGTGTATATAATACTCTGTGAGGCAGACCCGACCTGGGCATCACAGAGGGCTTCCTGGAGGAGGTGGCAGTGGAGTTGCGACCCGAGGGAGGTGAACGCCTGTGCAAAGGCCCTGGGGCAGACCATGCCTGGTGAGTTGGAGGGACCCCGAGGAAGCCTGTGTGGCTGAAGGGGAGTGAGTGCGGGGGAGAGAGGAGGAGGGGAAGACAGAGAGGGGACGGGGCAAGGCGTGCAGGGCCCTCTGGCCGGGGGAGGACTTAGGCTTTGTCCGGGGATGATGGACACTGTGCAGATTCTAAGGGCTGGAAGGATCTGGTCAGAGTTTTGTCACCCTCAGGCTATGTGGAGAACGGACTTCAGGGCAGGTGGGGCCCAGGCCAAGAAGGTGGCCAAGTCAGACAGGCGGGAGTCAAGGTGACGGGCCCCCAGAGTAGATGCGGGGTGGGGCCCCCTGGGCCCAGCTGGTGCCAACTCCCGTTTCTCTTCTCTGTCACGTGGCACTTCCCCTGTCTCTCTACGAGCTGGGGGCGTGGGGGTGCAGCGCGGCCAGTGGAGTTACACAAACCGAAAACCAAACCTGTTGCTGTCAGATCAGTCCCCGTAGGACAGAGGAGAACCGCCCCAAGGGTTTCCAAGGAGCAGCTGGGGGATTCAAACCGCCAGTCTTTTGGTTAGCAGCTGAGCTCTTAACCACTGCGCCACCAGGGCTCCATGGAGTTACACGGTCAGTTTCAAGTCCCAGCTCCACTACTTCTTGGCTCTGTGACCTTGGGTGAGTGACTTCTCCCATCAGGCCTCAGTCTCCACATCTGTGAAATGGGTTTATTGTTGTTAGGTGCCATGGAGTTGATGCTGACTCATGGTGACCCCATGTGACAGAGTAGAAGTGCCCCATAGGGTTTTCTAGCCTGTAATCTTTACAGGAGAAGATCACCAGTCTTTTCTCCAGCAGAGTGGCTGGGTGGGTTCGAATTGCCAACCTTTCGGTTAGCAGCTGAGCGCTTAACGGATGTGCCACCAGGGCTCCTTTAAAATGGGGTAACTCTTAGGAATCTCAGCATGGGGCAGCTGTGTGGATGACATGAGGTCAGGCCCAGATCGCTCTGCCCAAGGGCTCCCAGAGGGATCTTCACCCGGGCAATTCTGCCCCCAGGGGACACTGGGTAATGCCTGGGGACATTTGTGATTGTGACAGCTGGAGGGGGTGCTGCTGGCATCGAGTGGGTGGAGGCCAGGGATGCTGCTTAGGACCCTGCAGTGCACGGGACGGCCCCACCCCAGAGAAGGATGTGGGCCCAAATGTCAAGTCATACTGAGTCTGCAAGACCTTGGTGCATAATAAATGCTCACTCAACACCAGTTATCCTCCGCAGAGCTGTGCGCCCCCTCAGTTCACCTGTGCACGTGACACACTCTCCATGGGCCCATTTCTGGGCTGCTCTGGACACTGGTCCCACAGTGTACTCAGGTGGGGGCATGTGTGCTAGTGCAGAGGTGTTTGCTCGGGTGGGGACGTGTGAGGAGGTGTGCTAGGGTGAGGTGTGTGCTCAGGTGGGGGAGGCGGGCAGGTGTGCTAGGACAGAGGTGTGCTCAGGTGGGGACGTGGGCAGGTGTGCTAGGACAGAGGTGTATGCTCAGGTGGGGATGTGGGCAGGTATGCTAGGGCAGAGGTGTGTGCTCAGGTGGGGACATGGGCAGGTGTGCTAGGGCAAAGGTGTGTGTTCAGGTGAGGACGTGGGCAGGTGTGCTAGTACAGAGGTGTGCTCAGGTGGGGAAGTGGACAGGTGTGCTAGGGCGAGGTGTGTGCTCAGGCGGGGACGTGGGCAGGTGTGCTAAGGCAGAGGTGTTTGCTCAGGTGGGGACATGGGCAGGGGTGCTAGGGTGAGGTATGTGCTCAGGTGGGGGACGTGGGCAGGTGTGCTAGTGCAGAGGTGTGTGCTCAGGTGGGGGACGTGGGCAGGTGTGCTAGTGCAGAGGTGTGTGCTCAGGTGGGGGACGTGGGCAGGTGTGCTAGTGCAGAGGTGTGTGCTCAGGTGGGGGACGTGGGCAGGTGTGCTAGAGCAGAGGTTTGTGCTCAGGTGGGGGAGGTGGGCAGGTGTGCTAGTACAGAGGTGTGCTCAGGTGGGGGATGTGGGCAGGGGTGCTAGTACAGAGGTGTGCTCAGGTGGGGACGTGGGCAGGTGTGCTAGGGCAGAGATGTGTGCTCAGGTGGGGGACATGGGCAGGTGTGCTGGTACAGGGGTGTGTGCTCAGGTGGGGGAGGTGGGCAGGTGTGCGCTCGGGGACATGCGGACAGGTGTGTTACTCAGATGCAGATCTGCTCCGATGGGGGAATCGCGCATGTCTGCCAAAGTAGCGGACAGGCAGCTCATGCTCAGGGCCTCTTCCAAGCACCCCACAGCATGCAGGGTCACCCTTGCTGTGGCATCTGGCTGGCCTCCACCTGCGTCCCCAGGCCCCATGGCAGAAAGCTCCGGGGGTGGGGTGGCGGGCTCCAGGACAGCTTGCTAAGGGGACCTGCCCAAGTGAGCACTGCGGGCCTGCGCCCAGGGAGCCCGCCATCCCCACGCTTACACACGCGCTCACACACATACAGACACTCAAACGTGCTCACACACGCTCACACAGCCCTCCCTCCGTCTTCCCACCAGCTCCCTGGTTCCCGGGAAATCCTGAGCCCTGGCTGCCAAGGCTGAGCTTGGCAGGCAGGCTGGGCGGCACCCGAGCCGGCAGCTCAGCCTCCAGGCCTGGCGGGCTGGGGCTTCCAGAACATTCCCCACCTAGTCAGACAGAACCCTCCCGGGTCAGCAACACTCAGACTGTGTCCAGCCCCTCATGTGGGTGCCCAGGGTACCACTCTCCTGGGGGGCAGGGGGCATCCCTGAACCGCCCCAGTTCTCTGGCAGGACAAAAGGTGGGGGTTGTGCCTGTGTGGACATCAGGCTCCTTGTCCCATGGGTCATGTGTCCCAGCAGCCCCCTCTCTGCTCTGAGCCTCAGTTTGCCCCTCCAAAATGGGCGCCCGCCCCCTCACTCTCGGGTTGCTGTGAGGGGGAGAGGCAGAGGTGATGTCCCGAGTGTTTGGCCCCCGCCGTACCCAACACTAACCCTGTGGATGCTGGGCCGCGGGAAGGTCAGGTCCTGGGGAGAGCCTAGGGCGGCGGAAGGGGCTGCTGAGGAATGTCCCTGGGTGCTGTCAAAGGTTTGCACTCGACTGCTAACCTAAAGGTTGGCAGTTCAAACCCACCTGGTGGCACCGCAGAAGAAAGGCCTGGCAATCTGTGTCTATACAGATGACAGTCAGGGAAACTCTGGGCAATTCTGCTCTGTAACATATGGGGTCACCACGAGTCGGAATCGGCTCCACAGCACTGGATTTTGGGTTTTTGGGAGCCGGAGGGTTGTGGGTGAGACCTTGGGCAGGAATGGCACCCACAGTGCTGGGGGAAGGAGCGTGGCCCTCTGCACCCACCGGCCCTTGACCCTCTTGCCCTGCCCCCACAGGCATCTCGTCCCCAGTGAAGAAGACAGAGATGGACAAGTCTCCATTCAACAGCCCATCGCCCCAGGACTCGCCGCGCCTCTCCAGCTTCACGCAGCACCACCGGCCCGTCATCGCTGTACACAGCGGTGAGTGAGCAGGCCCTCGTGGCCGGGAAGTCCCACCGGCTGTCTCGCCTCAACCTTTACTGCTAGAGCCTCCTGGCCAAGCAAGAGAACCCAGAGGTGCTATGGAGAGCACACGGGCCTGGTCCCAGCACCTGGGGGGGCCCCCAGTGTCTCTAGGCCTCATTTTCCCCTTCTGTACAAGAAGGGGCCAGGGCTCAGACATGGGAGGTCAGACACGGGAGCGACCTGCCCAGGGTCATACATGTTCCCAGAGGCCGGAGACCCACAGTGTCACACATGAGAGACCGCTGACGGACCACAGGGTCCACAGAACGGTGTAGACTCACCCGGGACATGGCCAGACACACACAGGCCACAGGCCACCCAGGCACTATGTGGACATTCACGTCGACACAAAGACACACACACACAACAGATGGAAACACAACCGTGACTGAGGTGGTCACAGTTCGCCCTGCCCTCCATTTCCCTCCCTGCCCCCACCTCCCAAGGCTGTTGGAGGATTGAGCGAGCTCCATCGCGGAAAGCTCCGGAATGTTGCTTGTTATCCTGCCATGACATTGATGATGATTTAGTTCCCTACGAGGATGCAGACATACACAGAGGGAGGCAGGCAAGAGTGAACGGAACTTAGCGGTTTAGACCAGGGGTCAGCAAACTATGTCCCACAGGCCGAATCTGGCCCTCTGCCTGTGTTTGTAAATAAAGTTTTATTGGCACACGGCCACACCCATTTGTTTACATATGTCTGTGAAGGCTTTCATAGTACAGTGACAGGATTGAATAGCTACAGCAGCGACAGGATAGTCTGCAAAGCCAAAAAATATTTACTATCAGGCTAGGGTCTGGTGGGGGGGGGATGGGGAGTGACTGCCGATGAGTACAGGATTTCATTCAGGGGTGATGAAAATATTCTGGAATTACATAGTGAATATACTAAAATCTAACCCATGAACAGACTACACATCACTGAGTGGTTTAAAAAAATAAAGAAAGGAAAAAAAAAAAAAACAGACGCTGCTACGGAGCGGTTAAGAGCTCGGCTGCTAACCAAAAGGTCAGCAGTTCGAATCCACCTGCTGCTCCTTGGAGACCCTCCTATGGGGCAGTTCTACTCTGTCCTGTGGGGTCGCTATGAGTCAGAATCGACTCGACGGCAATGGGTTTGGTTTTTTTTTTGGTTTATAAAGAGAAATGAAGTTCTGATAGATGCTGTGACGGGGGTGAAGTTTATAAACACGGTGCTCAGTGAGAGAAGCCAAGCACAAGACCACGTACAGGATGATTCCATTTATGCGAACTCTCCACAGCGGGCAGATGCATAGAGGCAGAAAGCGGACTCGGGAATGTCGGGAGAATGTTTGTTAGTGCTTAGTGGGCAGAGGGTTCTTTTAGGGTGAGGAAAGTATTCTGGAACTATGTGGAGATGATGGTCACACAACCCTGAAAGTACTAGAAGCTGTTGAATTGTACACTTTAAAAGGGCGAGTTCTACGGTGTGTGTGATTCATATCTCCATTTTTTAAAATTATTTATTCCCTGGCCCTTTTATGAGAAAGGTTTTTGGGCTCCTGGTTTAGAGCACAGGCCATGGGTTCGAATCCTGGTCTGGTCTGCCGCCTGCTTCAGGCAGGTGGCGTCGCCTCGAACGACCTGTTTCGTTCTCTGTTAATTAAAAAGAGAAAGGTAGGGATGATTCCAGAACCCCGTGGAGCTCTTGGGGCAGCGTTGGTAGGTGTTATTATTGTCATCAAGGAGCCCTGGTGGTGAAACGGTTAAGCGCTCGGCTGCTAACCAAAAGGTCAGCGGTTTGAACCCACCAGCCGCTCTGAGGGAGAGACTCGTGGCAGCCTGCTCCCGTAAGGATTATAGCTTTGGAAACCCCACGGGAGCAGTTGAACTCTGTCCCGGAGGGTTGCTGTGAGTCAGAATTGACTCAGTGACACAACAATGAGAACAACTTTGTTACTCTTATTATTTAGTTGTTATTAAACGCACCAACGTGCAGACAGACAGACACAAACCAGTGAGAGGCACAGGGGGCGACCCTTACCCACCAGCCCCTGCTGACTGCCTACCTGCCGCCTCCGTGTCCACAGGAATCGCCCGGAGTCCTCACCCGTCCTCAGCCCTGCACTTCCCCACGACGTCCATCCTGCCCCAGACGGCCTCCACCTACTTCCCACACACGGCCATCCGCTACCCGCCTCATCTCAACCCCCAGGACCCGCTCAAAGATCTCGTCTCGCTGGCCTGCGACCCGGCCAGCCAGCAGCCTGGACCGGTGAGTTGGGCGGGGACGGGGTGTCTCTTCGCCACCTGTGGCTCCCGGTGACAGCGCGCTCTCCCTGGGGCCTGGCCTTGTCGTGGTCGGGCCGTGGGCCTTGTCTGAGTGGAGTGCATCACCCAGGCCGTCTCGAACGTACGACTTTTATTGGAAAAGTTTTGTGAGCATGGGTCCATAGTCCCTTATCTGAAGCCCTTGGAGTCGGATCGGGTCGGAATTCAGATGTCCTCGTATGTGATGTGACATGCTGAGGCAGCAGCAGTTCTGTGGTCGAATTCTCACCTCCCGTGCGGGAGACCCTGGTTTGATCCTGACCAGCGCACCTCACGGCAGCCACCAGCCATCTGTCAGTGGACATTTGCATGTTGCTAGGATGCTGAACAGGTTTCAGTGGAGCTTCCAGAGTAAGACAGACTAGGAAGAAAGGCCTGGCGATCTACTTCTGAAAGTCAGCCAGTGAAAACCCTATAGGTCGCAAGGGCCCGATTCACAATCGATCGTGGGGATGGCGCAGGACCGGGCAGCGTTTCGTTCTGTTGTGTCTGGGGTCACCGTGAGTCGGACGCCCAGTCAGCAGCAGCTAAAATCGACAGCGTGTTACGGGGCACCCCAGTGGGATGGGGCAGCACCCTGCCTTCAAATGCGGTTGTATTGCTGCAGCGCCATGCGGGACTGTAAACACTCGGCAGGAAGAGCTCAATTTTAAAAAATCCTTTCAGGTCAGGCTTTGGCAGACTTCACAAAGAAATGTTTGGTGTTCAGCGTTTTTCGGATTTTGGAACTGTGGGCAAGGTCATGGCTAGTTTGTACTCGCGGTGAGGTAGGGAAAACCTCCAAAGAGCCCGTGAGGGTGAGGTTAGGGTGAGGTGATGTCATTCAGCAGGGAAGCAAGTCCACGTACAGGTAGCTTAAGGAGGCGCTCGAGTAAGTGGTGTCGTGGACCCTGGGTGGTATAAATAGCGAGTGCGCTTGGCTGCTCACTGAAAGGTTGGCAGTTCGAGCCTACCCAGAGGTGCCTTGGAAGAAAGTCCTGGCAATCGACTTCCCAAGAAAACAGCCACTGAAAACCCTAAGGAGCACAGTTCTCCTCTGACACACATGGGGTCGCCGTGAGTTGCAGTCAACTCTACAGCAACTGTTTTTTTAAGTAAGTGGTGAGAGTGTGATATTGGGGGGCTGCCGGGGGTGCAGTCGTCCACCCCCACCCCCACCTCCGGCCGATCTGAGACCCACCAAGCTCATCCCTGCCAAGCCGGCGCCTTGGCCCCCCACCCTGGCAAAGCCACCCTCAGAGCCGGGGGCAGCCAGCGCCAGCAGTGGGAGCACCCGCCCCTTAACCACGTGTCTCTCTGTTCCCCCCAGTTAAATGGAAGTGGTCAGCTCAAAATGTCCAGTCACTGCATTTCCGCCCAGATGCTGACTCCACTGCCCCCCGGGCTGCCGCGGCTGGCACTCCCCCCCGCCGCCAAACCCACCACCACCTCCGAGGGAGGAGCCACGTCACCAGCCTCGCCCAGTAAGCACGCGGGGAGCGGTGCCCGAGGTGGGGCGGGCATCCCCGCGGGGGCCCCCTCTCCCCAGCCAGCCCCCCGCCGGGCGGGCTCCAGAGCTCAGACCCCGCGGGTACTGGCGAGCTTGGTGGATCTGTGGAGAGCGGCCTGGGGCCACGTGCTCGGGCCCCCCGGAGCCGAGGCGGCCTTAGGGAAATGCAGGATGGAGCCAGGGGTGTGGACCGGGCCACTTCAGGTGGACACCCTCCCGGGTGCAGTGAGCGAGGGTCTCAAACCGGCGGCCCCGAGGGCCAAACCTGGCCCCTGGGCGTATTTTGTCTGTGGAAAATGAGCACCTGTTGTTACTGTTTTAAAATCAAGGTGTTTCGTATTAGAATTTCCAGAGTTCCGGCTTTTTGGGAAAGCAGGCCACTCAGTGACAGGGTGAGGCTGGGCTACTCCTTTAGACCAGACAGTGCCCACCTGCCCACCTGACCCTGAGTTGGCAGCCCCACCTTCCAGACCTTTCTGTTCTCTGGATGTGGTTCCAGGTAGCAGTCTGATGGCCCCTTGCCCACCTCCTAATCCAAGGCTGAGATGGAATTCCCAGGATCCCTGTCCTGAGACCCCCCAATCCACGGTGGCCCTGCCCCCCTTCTCCCTCCCGGTGGCCAGCATTGAGGCGTCCCGCCTCCTCTGAGGCTGAGCAAACCGCCTCATTGGTTGCCCTGGGCAGTCTCAGAATCCCCGGCTCTTGCCATCATCCCAGTCCACCTCTCACCTTTCACTCCAGAGACCCCCAAATGAGATGCCTCACCCCACCAAGTGGGGAGGGGCCAGCAGTTTTGCAGCTGGACTGTACCTACTCCCTTCCCTGCAAGCAGCACCCCCAGCACCTCTTGCCTGCCGAGCCACAGGGCCTTCTGAACTCAGAACTCAGTGCGCCCCTCTGCTGCTGGGTTTCCCAAGCTGAAGGCCGGGCGCTGGAAGGAGGCCAGCTGCGGAACAGGCCCAGAGTTCGAGTCCTGCCTCTGCACCTCCCTCCCTGTGTGACCTTGGGCAAATGTCTTCCCCTCTCTGAGCCTCAGTTTTCTCAGCTGCAAAATGGGCGGTCACAACGCCGGCCTCGTCAGGTGGCCGGGACTGGGCGAGTCGGTGAGCTAGATCGTGGAGAACATTCAGGGCAGCGTCGGGCATGGAGCCAAGGCAGTATTCGGTGCTGGTTGTTACCGTGGACTTTACTTTCTCATCTGTAAAATGGGGATAATGGTACTGTTGACTTTGTAGAGCCTGTTGAGGATTCAGTGGGATGATTACATATGGTGCTTGGTATCCAGTAGTCATGGAATGGACACGGATTCCCTCCCCGACCCCTGCACCAGGGTGCTTTCCACCCTGAGTCTCCCACTTACTTACCATCCCCCGCCTGTGGCCACATCCTCCCTGCCCACTGCCCTGGTCCTCGCCTGCCAGAGGCCCCCCCAACCCCATCCACCCGGCATCCCCGGGCCATGAATTATTCACTCGCTGGCAAAATGTAATTGGCGAGATTAAAGTATACATCCCTGTATGCAAACACCCCAGTCCTCTGCGTGCCGGCTCCAGGAGGAAAATTAATAAATAAAATGCCTTCAATAATTCATGGTGCCCCCGCCAGGGCTGTGGGCCGCAGGCACAGGATGAGCCCGGCCAGGGAAGACACTAAATAATTCATGGGTGGTTTCTGAACGAGGAATAGTTCAGCCTCTGCCGCCCCTCTTGGCAGATGCCCCGCCTGCGTTGGCGGGCAGAGCTGTGACCCCAGGGGACCCGCCAGACAGGATCCCCAGGACGGTGGGCTTTCAGGGGTGCCCCATTGGCTGCGGGTGGGGGGGGCGGAGGCCCAGCTGTGTGACCCTGGACAACAGCCACCCTCTCTGGGCCTGGGGCAGCCCCTGCCCCCTGTGCCCACCCGTCGCTAATGGGCTCTCCGTCTCTCTCCTCCCCGCAGCCTACTCTACGCCCGGCACGTCCCCTGCAAACCGTTCCTTTATGGGATTAGGACCGAGGGAGCCAGCGGGCACTTATCAGGCACAGGTAGGGGCCAGGAGGCCGGCTGCTGGGGGCGGGCGGGGGCAGAGGGGCCGGCTGCATCCCCCAGTGCACCCCGCAGCTGTACCCCCGGCACAGTGGCTGGTGAGCAAGCATGGTGAGGCCACCGCCTCCTGGACCTGCCCAGGCCCAGAGCCCACACCTGGTTTCTCTGTGGGGCCCGAGGCAGCCCAGTGTGACCCCATGTCCTCTACCTTGGCCTCCGAGGCTGCCACGCCCGGGATGTGGAATAGCCCACACCCCGCCTGCCGCTTTCCTAGTGGATGGCAGAGCCTGGGGCTGAGAGTCATTCCAGCCCATTTGTACCCGTGGGAAAACTGAGGCCCAGAGAGGCCTAGGGATCCGCCCAGTGTCACACAGCAGTGGGTCAGCCCAAGCCTTCAACCTCCCCCCACCCCCAGCCTGTCCCCTTCATCGCCGCCGCTGCCGCCGGGAGGATGAGGGGGTGTCTCCTAGCCAGAGACAGGCCAGGGCGGGTGGGGAAACTGAGGCAGCCTGCAGCAGGGTGCGGGGCCTGCCAACACATGGTCTGAGCCTCCACCCCAGGCTCTAGCCCAGCATCCATGCCTGTGGGCAGGGTGGGGGGGAGGGGGCGGGGTTGACATGACTGCGACCATCCGTACTGCAGTGTTGGGGTCCAGCCGCAACCCCGAAAGGCAGACAGGTTGACGGCCTGACGAAGGAGGCTCAGAGAGGTGCAGCGACTTGCCTCTTGTAGGGGGCAGGGTCCGGGGGGCCCAGAACTGAGACTCCATGGTGCAGGGGGCAGCCTTACCCCCTCAGCCCTGACCCCGCAGCCAAACGTCCCAGTGCCTGCCCTGAGGTGAGGCGTCCACGGGGGCACAGGTGGCAGGAGTATGCTAACAGCTGTGTGTCTGTGGGTGCGGGCCGGCCCTGGAGCCCCCACCTTGTGTGCATGTAGGGGAGGGGGCCACCCTAGGCCCCATTGCTCAGAGAAGCCGGCTCAGGGCCCCCCAGCAGGTCAGATCACAAGAACCGCACAGTAGGGGCTCTCTGGGCTCCAAGGGTGGTGTCCAGGCCCTACACCCCCGCCCCCCCGGAAGAGTCCCCTGCCCTGGAGTCCATAGACTGAGACCAGGGAGGGGCCGAGATGTGTCCCCGGCCCCAGGAAACTCTGGCCACTCTCTGGCCCCCTGGGGACCCTCCCTGCAGGCCTGGTTGCTGCTGCGGCAAGGGGCAGAGTGCCTGAATGTGGCTGGGGGCGGGCCCCGCGGGGTCCCCCGGGAGCCTCCTCTGGCCTGGAAGAGGCTCCTCCCTCTTCTCGCCCGGAGGAAATCAGGAAGCCCGGGGTGTTTGGCTGCTTCTCCCAGGGTGGAGGGAGACCAGTGTGGGGGGGCTGGAGGACTGGTGCCGACTGACAGGGCTCTGTCTGGCCCCCCTGGGCCTGGGTTTCCTCCTCTGGCCACGCCCCCCCCCAAGAAGCCTTGTGAAAGGCCCAGAGCATCAGGGATCTGTCTCTACCCAGAGGAGGTGCCACCCCCACCCTGACATACACCCCAAATCCTAAGTCCCCTGCCTTGTGCTGGCAGAGGCTGGGGCCTAGGGGGAGATCCGTTGCTCAGGGTCACCCACTGAGCTCTAGGTCCCCAGGACCCCGGCTCTGGGCTCTGGGCCACCCCACAGCCACCCTCTCTGAGTCCCAGGGCATGGACGCCCCCACCCCAAGTGCTCACAGAGCCAGAGCTTCCCTTCCCACCCCCCGACCTCCCCACTTCCCTCCCTGGAGGAGGCTGGGAGCGTCCTGATTGCAGCAGAAAGGAAGCTAATAGAAACCCAGGAAGAGACCCAGCCACTTAACCCTTCCCGGGCCGCCCACTGACCGGCCTCCGACACAGCTGTCTGGCCTGAGCCTCCGGCCAGGGACCAGGGAATCCCTTCTCCGAGTGTGCTCACCCCAACCCTGTACCCTGAGCAGAGAGCCTGGAGGGAAAGGGACACTGAGGCAGCCAAAGCAGGCGCCTTTGGTTCTACACGCTTCAGAGTACCCCCTCGGAGGTGGGCTCAGAGGGTGGCACCCAGCCTGGGGGTGGGGTGGCTGCAGAGAAGGGGAGGTGAGGACCCTTAGAGCTTGGCTGCAAAGGTGCGGTGGGAAATGACAGGTCGGCTTAAATGCACAAAACTTTGACTGCCAGGCTAGTGGACCCGGGCGGACACCAGCTCTGCCCTGGGGCATGGGGAGCCACAGAAGGCTTTAGAGCAAGGGAGTGGTGCAGCCAGGCCTGGGAATAAGAGAAAAGTTCTGGGGGCTGGTGTTGGGGGCAGGAGTGGGGCACAGACTGGCAGGAGACTCCCAAGGGAAAACGGGTTGCGGGGAGGCAGGGCACTCAGTCCTGGGGTGAGGGTTTGGGGAGGACCCTGCCGGCACTGCCAAGCCCCAACGGCAGGTCCCTGGACTGAGAGACCCCAGTCCCCAGTGGACCCTGAAGCACCAGGGAGGGGAGGAGGGAGGAAGCCAGAGCCCCCGCGCCCCCTCTCGGAGCCCCTGCACCCCTTCCCAGAGCCCCTGCTCACAGGCCGGAGCCGGAGGCCTCGCATTTCTGATTTTGGCCCAGTCAGCACTTCTGCCTCCACCTTAATGATTCCTGGCCAGCGTGCGGCTCCCTGCCCCCTCCCGCCCCCTGCCTGCAGTGGCCAGCTCCCTCCCTGCAGCCTGTCTTCCCAGCCCCCATCAACGCTCCCTTCGTCTTTCCTGATCAACACTCCTCGCCTAGTCAGTATCCCTTTCCCTGACTAGTACCCCCTCCCCAATCGGTATCCGCTCCCCCATCAATGTCCCCCTCCTCTTGCTCATCCCCAAGCCTTTCCCGTCAGTCTCCCCAGTCCTGGCTCCGTGGGTTCTAACCCCCCCACTGCCCCCCGACCAGCTCACCACACCCATTGAACAGATGAGTAAACCAAGGCACAGAGGGGTTGAGCCGCATGCCCAGGGCCACAGTGCTGGCTCTGACCAGCCCAGGGGGTGCTCCACCCTGACGCTGCTCTGCCTCAGTCTCCCCATCAGCCAGCCGGCGGAGTGGAGGTTGTGGAGTCCAGGAGGTTCTGCCCTGCCCCCACCACCACAGGCTGAAGCTGGGGGCCGGGCAGGAGGCCGGGGAGGGAGGAAGGGCCAAGGGGAGACCGTCCACCATGGGGGAGGGTCACGCCCAGAGGCTGTCTGGTTGCCAACGGAAACCAGACATGAGGTAATGGCCAAGATGAACTTGAACTTGGCTGGAGCTGGGGGGCTGGGAATGCTGGCGCCAGTTAGATGGGATGCCCCAGCGGCTGCCTGTAGGGCCGCCTGGTTGCAGGGGAGATTGATTTGCACTAGGGACTAGGGAGTGGCTCTGCGGGCATCAGACCTCTATTGTGGGAGGGCAGTCTCCCCTGGCCAAGCGCCAAAGCCACAGGAGGGGGCACGGGCAAGAGTTTGCATTTCAAGGGGTCTGTGCAGTAGCTTTTCTGCAGGGACCGGGGTCCACCCCCCAGCCATCCCGCAGTCACAGGGCCTGTGGAGCAGGCCCTGGTGGAGACACCAGCCTGCTCTGTGGCCCCTGCAGCACCCCCTTCCAAGCCTCAGTCTCCACCTCTGTAAAATGGGACTCCGACACAGAAACACCACAGATGGGCCAAATTGAAAGCTGCCCTCAGTTCCCTCCGCCTGTCCCTTTATTGATAGGAACCCTGGTGGCACAGTGGTTAAGCACTCAGCTGTTAACCAGAAGGTCGGCAGTTTGAACCCACCAGCTGCTCTGCCTTGGAAACCCTATGGGTGCAGTTCTGCTCTGTCCTGTAGGGTCGCTATGAGTTGGAATCAACTTGACAGCCACGAGTCCCTTTATTAAGCTCTGTGAGTCCAAGAACCCATCCCAGCTCTGTGGCAGGGCGGGGCTGTGGACTCCCAGGGGAGGAAGTGAGGACTAGACCCCGTGGACCAGAGTTCAAATCCCTGCTCTGCCAAGTCTACGCTGGTGACCTTGGGCAAATTACTAAGCCTCTCTGAGCCCCATTCTGTCCACTGCAACAGAGGGTCACAGCTCCCCCCTCATTAGATGGGAAAATGTTTTTTAAAAAGTAAACAACACACAGTACTCGGTACAGTGATGCTCTGAAAAGTTTCACTCATTTCCTTCTATGCATTGGGCAGGGGTGTGCACATGCCTTCCCTGACCGAAGCCCTCCCTTCACCCGATTTTACAGTCAGGATAACGGGGCTCAGAGATAGCGTTGCCTGATTTCACTAATAAAAATACAGTACGCTTCAACCTTAAACCAAAACTATCCCCTGAAGTCTTAAAACCAAATAGTAGTTCAGCTTACCTTGTAAAGAATGTCTGCCTTGAGCACTCTGCTCTTTTAAAGAACTGACAAGAGCAAATTGACAAGAGCAACTCGAAAGGTTAGATGAGAAGCTTAGGGGGCAGTGAGGTTATGTTAATCGAGGAGGAACAGTTTGGAAAAGGAGGGTGAGAACGGTTGTCAAATTCAAAGAATGTGATCAATGTCACTGAATTGTACATGGAGAAACTGTCGAATTGGTGTTTGTCCTGCTGTGTATGTTCTCAACAACAAAAATAAAATATATTAAAAAATTAAAATACAGGACACCCTGTTAAATTTGAATTCCAGATAGGTAACGAATGATTTTTTTTTTTTAATATATCCCCCCACCCCCCAAAAAAAAAGAAAGCCCCCAAGGAGATGGATTGGCACAGTGGCTGCAACAGTGGGCACAGCAATGATTGCGAGGCTGGTGCAGGACCGGGCAGCGTTTCGTTCTGTTGTACATGGGGTTGCTATGCATCGGCATGGGCTCCACCACACCTAACAACAGCAATATCCCAAATATTGCATGAGATATACTTATGTTAACAACACATTTTATCCATTGTTTATCTGACATTCAAATTTAACTAGGCGTCCTGCATTTTATCTCTCAGCCGCACTCGGGGGCAAAGTCACTTGCCCAGGGTCACCCAGGTCTGGGATGGGGGAGACAGGTCACAGGGTCGTGGGGGGGGGGGGCAGTGGGCAGGGTCATGGGAGGTGTGGGAAATGGGGAGCAAGGTAAATGCAGAGCCTGACCCCCATTCTCTCTCTCTCTCTCCCTGTCTCTCAATCTCTCTTGTTTTCTTTCTCTGTCTGGCTGCCGGCCGCCCAGTCCTGGTATCTGGGATAACCAAGGTCTCCTTCCCACGCCCCTCCTCCTTCGTCCCGGGACTCCTGGAGGGCAGCCCAGCCGGCCCCCAGCCCACATTTTCGGTGGAAAGTTAGAGCGAGAACACCCCGCTGACTCCCAGGCCGGCCGAAAAGACAAAACACACAGACACACACGCAGAAGACGAAAACTTTTAAAAAAGGAAAAAGCAGAACAAACAAAAATAAGATTAAACAGGAACAAAGAGGAAAGAAACCCACCCACCCAAGAAGACTGAAGGTAAAGACGGCTTCGCTCCAGACTCTCGGGACGCCATCGACGGGACGCGGGGTGACGGAGGGCCGGCCGGGCGCGCCGTCTTCCGAAGTTATTCGCCTCCTGGCTGCCCGCTGCTCGGAAGGACAGACGCCCGCCCCGGCCACCTCGCCAGGGCGCCGCTCCCAGGCCCTGCCTGCCCAGAGACAGGTGAGCAAGCCGGGGGCGACCTGCGGACACCCAGCACAGCCACCGCCCCCATCCTCCATAAGGACGTCAACCAGGCCCCCCGCCGTGGTGTTTGCCAAAGGGGGGGCGGATACGCATGGGGGACCCCAGCAAGGGGCAGCAGAGGCGGAGGTGACGGCCAGGGTGGCCAGGGCAGTGGCAGGGGTGTGCTGGACATCTGACTCCCTGGGCTGTCGGGTTTGGCCGAAGGCTGCCCCCCTGTGCCCCCCACATCCCCCCTCAGCGTGCTCTCTTGGGTTTTTCAGCCCTCGCCCCCCCGGCGGGTTTGGGAGGAGATGTCTCTATGCAATTAACGCCCCCAGCACCCCCCTGACATCGGAGGCCCCCCACCCTGCCCCGCCCCCACTCTGCACCCTGGGGAGGGGTCGATGTTGCACACAACTGTAAGAAATGCACTTTCTAAGGAAGGAGATGGGGCCAGGAGGACCCAGAGCTCCTGGTTCTGGGGGATGGGGCGCCTTCGGGACCCTCGTGCGCCCTGGCCTGGGAGGGGACCCCCCCAACCCATGGAGGCAGGAGGGGGAGGAGCGAGTGGTTCTAAGTGCCTGATTCCCGCCGCCCACCCCCTCTGTCCAGCTAGGACCGAGCGGCCGCGGTGTCCTCCACCCTCCTCCCCCGCAGCCCGGTCACCTCCAGTCTCCGACCCCCCATTGCTGTGCCCCCCACAAGCCTGGAGATGGGACCCTTGAGCGGGCTCAAGGGGCAGAGCTGGGTGTCCCCCCCGCCCAGCGCCTTGCCCCGCCAGGGCGTGGGGGTCCTGGGGAAGCCGGTGACCACCCGCCCCCAGGACTCCCCCGCCAGTGCCTTACAACCTGGAGTGACGCCCATCCTGGTGCCTCCCAGCCCCACGGGGACCTCGGTTTGCACTTTCATCTTCCCCTGGTGGCTTCTGGGAGGAGGCAGGAGTGGGGTGGGCTCAGCCAGCCTGGGAGGGGTCTGGCAGGGAGAGGGCAGGTTGGCGGTGGGGAGGTGGGGGGCGCCCATCTGCTAAGCATTTTTCCGTTGAGCTGCTCCAAAAACACTAAGCTGGGCACGCCCCCGGGGGCCCACTCCTGCCCTAGCCCCTCCTGGATCGCCATCTTGGGTGGGGGGCCCGGGAGGGGGCAAGTGTTTTAGGGACCCCTCCCTGGCCGTCCATCCCAGCCCCACTGACCTCCTTCATGCCTGACGCTAAGGGGATCCCTCCCTCCACTTGGGTCAAGGCCAAAGCCATCCCCAAGGGCAAGGCCTCCCATCCCCCATCCGCTCCCAACTCCGGCCCCCTCGCTGCCGCTCCTGGGGCTGCTTCCCGTAAAACTGACTCCCTCTCCTCCAAAACCAGCCCCAGGGTCTCGGCAAACCCAGGCTGGAAAGAGAAAGACCCCAAGCCCCTCCCTACCAGCCTCCCTCAAAGTTTGCCATCCTCAGGCCGGGAACCTTTGGTCCGTTAGTTGTCTGTCCATCCATTCGTTCGTATGTCTGTCTGTCCGTCCTCAGGGCCCCTCCAGCGGGTCGGCAGCCCGTTGGGGACCAAAGCGTGGGCCTTGGAGGCGGCGGGGGGGATTACAGTTAAGAGTGTCTGGAACCTTCTTCACCAGGAACCTTAGGGTGTCGGGGAGGCAGGGTGGGGGAGGGGGGCTGCACTCTGGGGCGGCCCAGTGGCCCCCTAGCTGGGCTGGACGAGAACCATCTCTTTACCTAACTGCATGGTGCTTAGCCAGGAACTGGTGTGACCTGGCTCCGACGGTGAGCTGGCGGCTGATAAACACCTGCATGGCAATTAATACATGGCTCTGCCTCCCCCTGTTCCCTCCCGCCCTCCACCACTCCTCCTCTTTAGAAAAAAGAAAAAAGAAAAAAAAAAAAATGCTACAAAAAAAAAAAAAAAACTCAAAACCAATTCCATTTTTGTTGATTTGCTTGGGATTTTCTATCACATGATGTGCCTTGCTTTCCAAGAACAAGTATTAACATTAAACGATATCACCGCACACAATTAGCTGCATGTCCTGCCTGTGTAGTTAACCAGAAGAAAAAAAAAAAAGACACCACCGTGTCATGAAATAAAAAATAAAAACGGGAAAGAGACGTATTTCTATTTGTAAAAAAAAAATAAGAAAATAAGATTTCAAAAAAAAGAGAAGAAGAAAATCACGCTCCAAAAGCAATCCACAGAACAATCACCTCCCCCATGGTTTGGCTCCCCATTCTCGGTTCTGTCACGACCTTTTCGTGCTGCATTTTGGGGGTACTCCCGGTGCTTGCTCCTGCTGCCCGCAGTGCCCCTGTGTCCCCGGCTTCCGGGCTCCAGAGGGCCATTTGTGAGGACAGACCTCAGGGGTCACTGGGGCCACAGACCAGCCTTCCCCCAAGACACCAAGCACCAGCCCCAGGCAGTCCCCCCATGGGGTGATCCCCCTGGGGTGCCCGTGAGCAGACAGCCAGAACCCCCCAACCCTGCCCCTCAGTGCAGGCTCAGGGTCACCTCGCTGTCTCCCCGTCTCGTCCCCCCCCCCCGGTCTCTGTGCACCCCCATCCTTCTTGGCCAAAGCACCCACCCCTCCCCTCTCCCCCACCTGGGGACCACCCTTGGTGACGTTCGTTCCTGCCCTTTCCTGGACCCCAGCTCCCTGTCTTCCAGCTGTGAATATTAAGGGCATCTGGTAAGAAACAAACAAATTCAAACTGATATATGCAATATCCGTCCGTCTGTATCTGTAGGTCTCACTCATCACTGTTGGGGGCTCAGCAGCTGGAGGCTGGGGTGGGGTCCGCGGGGGCCCCGCATCACGCTGTTGTCTTTCCTCGATTTTATTGTGTTTTTCTTTCTTGGCTATTTGTTTTTGTTTTTGATTCCAGCTCCTTTCGCTTCTAACTCGACCAAAGCTAAGACCAGAGCCCAAGGGCTGGGGGGAGGCCAGGCAGGAGAGCCCGAGGGCTGGATTCGCCAACCTCAGCTAGAAAAGGGGGAAGCCCCCCTTTCTCCATCCCAGCCCCTACCCAGACCTTCCAAGCATTTCGTCTGGGGACACCAGGCAGACGGTCCCCCCTGCCTGTCACTCAGCCCCTAGTGTGGTCCCAGGAGCAGGGTGTGGACATAGGTGTCAGGCCCAGCTTTGATCAGCCATCTCAAGCACAGTCCCGCGTTGCCTCCCAAAAAGACAACTCTAGCCAGCCGCAGGAGACAGACAGGGAGAGCCTGGGGAGCCGTGGCCTCAGCCTGCCCCCAGCCTGCCCTTAAGAACTGCGCCTTGGCCACAGAGAGCTAAATCCATATGCATACGTGTTGTTTAAATGTGAGGGACGTCATTTTTATTTTTTTCTTGCAAACTTTTACTCCCCAGGGAGGTGAGGGAGCAACCAGTGACAGAGGCTGTGGGTGCAGCCACCCCTGCCGGGACCCCTCCCCCCTGGGAGCTGCACATCCCGCACCCCCAGAGCCGCAGAGCTTCTGAGGAGGGCAGGACAGGACAGCCGGTGGGCGGCACCCCAGCTCATCATTCTCCATTCATTCAGCACCTTTTATTGAGTATAGTGTGCAGGCCCGTCCCAGGCAGTGTGTTGCTGTGGGGTTTTCTTTTTTTTTGTTTGTTCCTGTTTCTTGGGAAAACGACAGGGCCCCCCCTCCCCGTAGGGTAAAGTTCCTAGACCCCTTGCTGCAGGCAGAATGAGACAGAAACACCAGGCCCCCCAACGCTGACCTCATCCCCTGGGGTAGGGGATGGAGTGTTGTTCCTTCTTTGACATGTTATAAAACTGACATCTCAAACCTCATCCCCTCCCAAGCCCTCCATCACCTTCCCATCGTTCATCCCCCAAAGAGAGGCTGGACCCCCCCTTGTGCGAAGCCCCCAGCCTGACCCTGGGGTGCAGTCCACGCTGCAGAAAAGAATAGTGAGGCCTCCCAAATATATGCAAATTGCCCCCATCTTGTGTTTGAGTGGGGTGCCCACCCACTAGGTTGGGGAGGGAGGTGGTGGTGAGGGGCAAGAAGACTGGGACCTATCTGAATGAGCAGAGTGGGATATCTGGAGTCCCCTGTGCATATATCTGGGATCCAGAGTCTGGCTGAGTTCTGAGTCCAGAGCCCCACCCTGGGCTAGACAATCAGATCAAAAAGTAACCGGAAAGCGAACTCAAGGACCACTGCTGAGCCGGGCCCCAGGGATGGAGACTTGGTCCCCTCCAAAGCTCCCCAAGCAGCAGACAATTCCAGCCCCAGCCCCTAAACATCCTCCTTCCCGCTCTGGGACCTTGGGTCAATCCCCAGACACAGGCCAGCTTGGCTGGGCTGTCACATGTTGTACACGACACTGTCCCTGAAGGACAGCGGCTGGGTTAGACGGGGCCCTGGGACCCAGAGCAACCGCCCCACCCTCCAGAAGAGAGCACGCAGGCCCCCTCCCCACTCCGGTTTCCCCGACGGTACTTTGATCTCCAGTGTAGGGCTATATTATACATACATATATATATATAATTTTGGGATATTTTTCTCATAATACAGATTATACAGTGGCTACTTTTTACTTTAGCCTGGATTCTCTTTCTGAGACCCTGGTTTTTACTTTCTTTTTTGGAGAGGGCTTGGGAGAGAGGCTCCAAAGACCTATCCCCAAATCTAATTTCATCAGCATCCTCCCATCTTTCCCTATTTCTGCCCATTGGGACACTTCCTGAGAGTCCCACCTCCAAATCGACACCCCCCCCCCATCCATCTCTAAGCATTTCAGAGTATGTGGGGTCCGAGCTGGCC